TGAGCACCCAGGGCCAAAACGGCGAATACGGTGAGGCACGCACCATCATAATGATACTCAACGAGCGCGTTCCACGACTCGCAAAGTACCTACTCGCAAACTTCCGAACAACAAAAAAACAAGCAACAATAAAAAACAAACACCAACACATACCCCCCCAAAAAAAAACACACACACAAAACAACGCGGCGGATCCATGATATTTGCGAGTCGTTGCCTTGCGAGTAGTGGAACGAGTTTCGCCTGGGATGCAGAAGCTGCCGAATCGGCACCTTGGGATGCGCCTCGATTGCAACATGCTTCGAGGCTCCCAGGCGTTGCCACGGCACGTTCCGGGCCGAGGGCGAGCCCCGCGGCGAGCACGGGGGCCCCCGTGCGCGCCGGGCAGGGGCGGGCGTGGGCGGGCGTGGACAGTGTCGGGTCGGGCGCACACTGCGGATGCGGGCGCAGCAGAGGTCGGAGGCGCCGCGCCGCCGTCGGGGGCGCGCGGGCGCTCTCCGAGGGCAATGCCGGGACGATCGAAATTTGTACTGGAAGAATTCAAGTAGGGGATCGACTGCAAAATTGCTGTTCGTCGAATCGAAGAGTCGACGGAAATTTCGATTCTGGGGTAAACCAATTCTGTAGTCGATCCCCTACTCGAAGAACGGGCACAAAGACCGACAGCGTTTCGGGGTCACTCTGCACAGGAATCGCTGTCGGTGTCGCCGCGAGCGTCGTCCACCTGAGGCAGAAGGCCGCCTGCCCGACAGCGGCCGCTGTTGGTTTGGGACAGCAGTCCGCTGTTAGGCATCGTAGCCATGTTTTCCGTACCCACTTCGGGCGTCCAAAGAAGAGGCGGCCGCAGGCAGGCTTATCGCAGACATGCAGCGCATTGAAAAAAAAACATAATGCTGTTTTTCCCAACCATCCTGTGGTGTTGGGTCCTCGTTTTGAAGAGACGGTCCCCGCGTTCTCCCCTTCTCTCCCTCCTCACCTGCCCCCTCCTCCCTCCTCCCCCTCCGCGTCAGCCACACCCAATTCGGCACACCCCTCACACGTTTCGTGGCCCCATAGGAGCTCCGCCGAAGGCCCAAGTGCTGCCGCCCGCATGCGTCACCCACACCCAATTCGGCACACCCCCCACACGTTTCGTGGCCCCATAGGAGCTCCGCCGAAGGCCCCAGTGCTGCCGCCCGCATGCGTCACCCACACACACACACACACACACACACACACACCCCTCACACGTTTCGTGGCCCCATAGGAGCTCCGCCGAAGGCCCCAGTGCTGCCGCCCGCATGCGTAACCAATTCGGGACCCCCCTCACACGTTTCGTGGCCCCATAGGAGCTGCGCCGAAGGCCCCAGTGCTGCCGCCCGCATGCGTCACCCACACCCAATTCGGCACACCCCTCACACGTTTCGTGGCCCCATAGGAGCTCCGCCGAAGGCCCCAGTGCTGCCGCCCGCATGCGTCATTCGGCACACCCCTCACACGTTTCGTGGCCCCATAGGAGCTCCGCCGAAGGCCCCAGTGCTGCCGCCCGCATGCGTCACCCACACCCAATTCGGCACACCCCTCACACGTTTCGTGGCCCCATAGGAGCCCCGCCGAAGGCCCCAGTGCTGCCGCCCGCATGCGTCACCCACACCCAAGTCGGCACACCCCTCACACGCTTCGTGGCCCCATAGGGAGCTCCGCCGAAGGCCCCAGTGCTGCCGCCCGCGTGCGTCACGCGCATTCAATTCGGCACACCCCTCACACGTTTCGTGGCCCCATAGAGAGCTCCGCCGAAGGCCCCAGTGCTGCCGCCCGCATGCGTCCCGCACACCCATTTCGGCACACCCCTCACACGCTTCGTGGCCCCATAAGGAGCTCCGCCGAAGGCCCCAGTGCTGCCGCCCACATGCGTCACCCACACCCAATTCGGCACACCCCTCACACGCTTCGTGGCACCATAGGGAGTTCCGCCGAATGCCCCAGTGCTGCCGCCCGCATGTGTCACGCACACCCAATTCGGCACACCCCTCACACGTTTCGTGGCCCCATAGGGAGCTCCGCCGAAGGCCCCAGTGCTGCCGCCAGCATGCGTCACGCACGCCGAATTCGGCACACCCCTCACACGTTTCGTGGCCCCATAGGGAGCTCCACCGAAGGTCCCGGTGGGTGTGCCCGCATGCGTCCCGCACATTCAATTCGGCACACCCCTCACACGCTTCGTGGCCCCATTGGGAGCTCCACCGAATGCCCCAGTGCTGCCGCCCGCATGCGTGCTCACCCATTTCGGCACACCCCTCACACGTTTCGTGGCCCCATAGAGCGCTCCGCCGAAGGTCCCAGTGGGTGTGCCAGCATGCGTCTCGCACACCCATTTCGGCATGCTCTTCACACGTTTCGTGGCCCCATAGGGAGCTCCACCGAAGGCCCCAATGGGTGTGCCCGCGTGCGTCCCGCACACCCATTTCGGCACACCCCTCATGCGTTTCGTGACCCCTCACACGTTTCGTGGTCCCATAGGGAGCTCCACCGAAGGCCCCAGTGGGTGTGCCCGCATGCGTCCCGCACACCCATGTCGGCATACCCCTCGCACGTTTCGTGGCCCCGTAGGAGGCTCCACCGAAGGTCCCAGTGGGTGTGCCCGCATGCGTCCCGCACACCCATTTCGGCACACCCCTCACACGTTTCGTGGCCCCATAGGTAGTTCCACCGAAGGTCCCAGTGGGTGTGCCCGCGCGCGTCCCGCGCACCCATTTCGGCACACCCCTCACACGTTTCGTGGCCCCATAGGGAGCGCCACCGAAGAAGATATTCACAATTGCGGTATTCACAATTGCATATGGTTGGGTCCTTCGCCAGGATAATTAGCTTCTGCTTCCCAGTTTGTAGCCTTTGGGGGCCCTTACCGCGCCCCGGGCCCGTCAGAAAACGACTCGAGAAAAAACGTTGGAAGGGGTCGGGACTTCCAGGGACCCCGCATTGAAAACATCAGGACATCGCAAGTCTGGGATGGCAGCTGACGAACAATCGGACGTCGCTTTCATTCCTAGCAGCTCCTTGGGGCTTCAGTACTGACTCACTGCTAGCACATGGCCCCCCACGCTTTCAGCGCCTGCAGCCCTGGCTGAGGTCCTTGGATGTGGCCATGAGGCCGCCCCGCGTCCACCGCCCTGGCTCCGCAGCCCCGGCCAGCCGCTCCAGCGCTGTCAACGTGAAATTCATTCACTTGTGAGCGCCCTCCTCCCCCTGTGCTGCTAGGCTTGTTTTCCACCACCACCGCCGTAAGTTGGAGGACATGGGGGTCCTCCTCCTCCTCCTCCTCCTCCTCCTCCTCCTCCTCCTCCTCCTCCTCCTCCTCCTCCTCCTCCTCCTCCTCGTCCTCCTCCTCTTTCCCCCCTCCAGCTTATGGTAGTGGTGTTGGAAAATAGGCCCATCATGTGCTCTCTCTCTTCGCGGCCGCCCTGCCTTTCCGCGCCCCACCTCTGCATCTGGACAAGTAGTGTGTCGAGCGCCCCCCGACCACGTGCTACTGCGAGCGCCCGTGCGGAACTTGTCCCTGCCGTGCTGCGACGGGAAAGAAAGGCAGGGGTGGCAGCTCGAGCTCGCGTCCCCCCCCCGCCCCCTCCCCGTCGGTGTCCCACCCGAGGCTTGGGAGGCCGTCAGGCGGCCTGCGGGGCGATGGTGCTGGAAGCGCGGCAGGCACGGACTTGCAGCACCACAATAGACAACGGGCGCCGCGGCACCACAGCAGGGGCAGAAGCCGTGAGCTGTCGGGCCCCCCCAGGGGCGATCGGAGCGGCGACGGGCAGGGGCCATCCGAGGTCGTGGGCCCCTCGGGGAGCAAGGAAGAGGGCAGACCGGCTGGCGGCTGGCGGGGGACATCGGCATCAGAAGCGGTCGGGAACGGCGTGCGTCACGCTGGCGCGGTGTGTCTGCATTGCGTCGGCCTAGAGGCGCGGCTGTTGCTCGACAATAGGTATGTAGCAGGCCTTGGCTCGACGAAAAGAGGCAGGAGGGGGAGCAGGAGGAGGAGGAGGCGGAGGAGGAGGAGGAGTGTGGAAGGATTCAAGAGATTGTGGGGCGGGTGTGGCCCGACCGCTTGTCGAGCCCTCCAGCGCAGCATGATCCAACGGTTTGGAAAAAGCCTTGCCTGGGAGTCGTGAGCCCACCGTTCGGGCATTGTTTACGACTGCCCTGGCATAGAGCAGCAGAATCCAAGCGGAATCACTCCCTCTTTCGCCCCGTCGTCGTCGTGATCCTCCTCCTCCTTTTATTTTTCCTCGCATCCCTCCCATCCCTCGCTCCCTCCCTCCTCTTCCCTCCTCCTCGTCATCGTCGTCATGGGCCCAGCCCTCCCCGAGACTTTTAAAAGTTCTGCGCCCCTCTGTATGTCGACCCATTATTGTGCCCTTCCTTGGGCAGGTCCACCCAGTTTCCCTTGAGCAACGCTCGCATGCAATTGTTTCTGCTGCCACTGTAAGTGGCACCAGACCGCTGGCTGCAAACGCTGAAGAATTGACGGCACGATAGGAACATGCAATAGAGACGGTGATGTAGAACACGATGGACGGTCCTTGGCCAGTCTAACGAGGAGACAAGGGAAGGCGATGGAGGATGAGTAATCTGAGGAAGAGGGAACGAGCAGGAAGACGGATAGGAAGGAGGAGAAGGCAGAAAGAAGAGGAAGGTGGAGGACGACGACAACGATGATGAAGGCGGGGTAGGAGGAAGGAGCCAGGGCGAGGAGACAGCAAGCGGACGGCAGAGGAAGAGGCAGGAGGGAGAAACACGAGGACGGAGGACGAGGAGAAAGGAGGAAGACAAGGGAGGAGGAGGAGGAGGAGGAGGAGGAGGATGAGGAGGAGGAGGAGGAGGCGGAAAAGGAGTGGCAGGATGAGGGGGAGGAGGAGGAGGAGGAGGAGGAGGAGGAGGACGACGACGACGACGATGAGCCAGGAGGAGGGAGGGGGGCGCGGAGGTGGCGCGGGCGCGGGAGCGGCCGCCGGCAGCCGCCCTGGCAGGAAGCTGAACGAGATGTTCCCGAGCGCGAGCGGGGGGCCTAAAAGCGGCGCCCTGCCGCGGCAAGCTGCGTCGGGGTGTGCGGCGTGGTTCCTGCGTTGTCCCGAGGGTCGGTCCCGCGGTGGCCACGCGGCTGTCCCGGCGGTTGTCCCGGCGGTTGTCCTGGCGGTTGGGTGTTTTTCCCAACCATCCTGTGGTGTTGGGTCCTCGTTTTGAAGAGACGGTCCCCGCGTTCTTCCTCCTCCTCCTCCTCCTCCTCCTCCTCCTCCTCCTCCTCCTCCTCCTCCTTGCGTTTCACTCACCAAGTACAGCGTTTCGTGGCCCCATAGGGAGCTCCACCGAAGGCCCCAGTGTCACCGTACATATGCGTCCCCCACACCCACTTCGGCACAGCACTCACACGTTTCGTGGCCCCATAGGGAGCTCCACCGAAGGCCCCAGAGCCACCGTCCACATGCGTCCCCCCCATCCACTTCGGCACACCCCTCAAACGCTTCGTGGCTCCATAGGGGAGCTCCATCGAAGGCCCCAGTGCCACCGTCCACATGCGTCCCCCCCACCCACTTCGGCACACCCCTCACAAGATTCGTGGCCCCATAGGGAGCTCCACCGAAGGCCCCAGTGCCGCCGTCCACTTGCGTTCCCCACACCTATGTCCGCACACCTCTCACATGTTTCGTGGCCCCGTAGGGGGCTCCACCGAAGGCCCAAGCGCCACCGTCCACATGCGTTCCAAAACACATTTCGGCACACCCCTCACACTCTTGGTGGCCCCATAGGGAGCGCGACCGAAGAAGATATTCACAATTGCCGTACGAACAACTGCATATGGTTGGGTCAGTCGCCAGGCTAATTGTTTCGCGGTTGGCCGTGATATTTTTCCCAACCAACTTGTGTTGTTGGGTCCTCGTTTTGAAGAGACGGTCCCCGCGTTCTCCTCCTCCTCTCGTCTCCTCCTCCCCCTCCTCCCCCTCCCAACATCATCATCGTCATCATCAGCATCATCATCATGATCATCAGCATCATCATCATCATCATCAGCAGCATCATCATCATCATCATCCTCATCCTCATCCTCATCCTCATCCTCCTCCTCCTCCTCCTCCTCATCATCATCATCATCATCATCATCATGATTATCATCATCATAATGATCATCATCATCGTCGTCGTCACCATCATCATGGCACTCACCATCACCATCATCGCATGCGTCAGCCACACCCACTTCGGCGCACCCCTCACACGTTTCGTGGCCCCATAGGGAGCTCCACCGAAGGCCCCAGTGCCACCGTCCACGCGCGTCCCCCCCATCCACTTCGGCACACCCCTCACACGTTTAGTGGCCCCATGAGGAGCTTCACCGAAGGCCCCAGTGCCACCGCCCGCATGCGTCCCCCCCACCCACTTCGGCACACCCCTCACACGTTTCGTGGTCCCATGGGGAGCTCCACCGAAGGCCCCAGTGCCACCGTCCACATGCGTCCCCCCGCCCATTTCGGCACACCCCTCACAAGTTTCGTAGCCCCATAGGGAGCTCCACCGAAGGTCCCACGCAATGCCACCGTCCACATGCGTCCCGCCCACCCACTTCGGCACACCCTTCCCGCGCTTCGTGGCCCCATAGGGAGCTCCACCGAAGGCCTCAGTGCCACCGTCCACGCGCGTCCCCCCCAACCACTTCGGCACACACCTCACACGTTTAGTGGCCCCATGAGGAGCTTCACCGAAGGCCCCAGTGCCACCGCCCGCATGCGTCCCCCCCACCCATTTCGGCACACCCCTCATACTCTTGGTGGCCCCATAGGGAGCTCCACCGAAATCCCCTGTGTCACCGTCCACATGCGCCCCCCCACCCACTTCGGCACACCCCTCACACGCTTCGTGGTCCCATAGGGAGCTCCACCGAAGGCCTTGGTGCCACCGTCCACATGCGTCCCCCTCACCTACTTCGGCACACCCCTCACACGTTTCGTGGCCCCATGGGGAGCTCCACCGAAGGTCCCAGTGCCACCGTCCACACGCGTCCCCCCCATCCACTTCGGCACACCCCTCACACGCTTCGTGGCCCCATAGGGAGCTCCACCGAAGGCCCCAGTGCCACCGTCCACATGCGCCCCCCCCACCCACTTCGGCACAGCACTCACACGTTTCGTGGCCCCATAGAGAGCTCCGCCGAAGGCCCCAGTGCCACCGTCCACATGCGTCCCCCCCACCCACCAGCGCTCTGGGGCAGTTTACGGCCAGACCTGCTGGGCGCGAGCAGTCCGCAGCCAGACCTCGATCCTGTGGTCTCTCGCCCTGGGCCGTCGGCTGTCCGGCGCGCTGCTCCCCCGGCCGACGTCGCCCAGGCGCGATCCTGGATTGCGGCCGCCACGAGGTCGGGAACGGCAAGAAGGAGGACGACGACTGGTGGCTGGAGCTCTATGCGCTGCTCTCGCGCGCCACGCGCCACGAGGACCTCCTGCTCATGCGGGCGTCGCGCATCGAGTTCTTCCTGGCAGGGCCGCCGCAGGGCTTGCGAAAGCAGCTGGAGCAGTTTGCGGCGCGCACGAAGCGGCGCAGAAGGGAGGCGACGGCCCTCGCCAGGGAGCTCGGCTTCACCGAGTTTATCCGCGAGGCCTGACCTGAGGAGCGCTCCGCGCGAGCCGCGCCTTCTCTCGACTGCCCAACTATTTGTCTGGCCTCGCGCCGCGGACGACCCGCGCGCGTCGCTGGGGCCCTCTCGGGGCGACCAGCGCGCGTCGTGGGAACTCCGCGCTGCGTCCTGCTCAGCGCCTCGCTCGCCCGTCGTCGCTCTGCCTAGCGACCAGAGCCTTGCCCGCTGTCAGCCAGCCAGCTAGTTCTCTTTGCTCCACGCAGCGGGCGAACGCGCGCGTCGCTGGGGCCCCTTCCAGGGCGACCTGCGCGCGTCGCGGGGACTCCGCGCTGCGCAGCGCCCGCAGCCTTGGATTTTTGGAGCGCGCAGGCGAAGAGGGAGGGAAAGAAGGGGCGGAAGCCGGTGCGATCCTCGTGAGGGGCGCTCCGACGTGGGCGTCGCGGCGCGCGGGCGCTGCCATCGGGGCCCCCGCGGAAGCTGCCCGCGGCGGCCACGCTCCGCGTCACGAGCCTTCGGACAGGCGTGCCCGAACCATTCACATTCATATGCGTTTTCATTAGGCGTAGCCATGATCGCGACCACGCAAAAAGACTCACTCGCGCGCAGACTCATTCACACTCAGACTCATTCGTGCTCTGACTCATCCGCGTTCAGTCTCACGTAATTCTACCTACCGTATGCCTCTGCGTTGTGTACCACGCCACAGTTCGGCACACCCCGCGTGCGGTTCGTGGCCCCATCGGGAGCGCCACCGAAGAAGACATTTACAATTTCGGTATTCGCAACTGCATATAGTTGGGTCCTTCGCCAGGCTATTTTTTTTGCGTGGCCGACAGGCTGGTTCTTAGATAGGGGCACCGACACGCATGATGAAAGTCAGATCGATGCATTGATTTTGCGACCGATTGATTGTTTGATCGGTAGATAGATAATACGGTCGATCTACATATTAATAGTTGCGGGAGGCGAAAGATCAATGGTGGGACTGACGAATAGTTATATTGGGGCTGACTCGAGGTATTTCGTTGTGCTCTATCTAGATGCATACTTTTACAACAAATTCCGATGTGCATTTCCTGGCCAAACAAGGCGTGGACTCCCGGGGCTGCCTGGACGCCCCCAACCCCTCCAGGCTGCTCCAGTGCCCCTGTATATCGTCCCTTCGGCCTTGCAGCCTTGCGTCGGAAGGTCCACAGAGACCTCCATTATTGCGCTCAAAACAGTTCGTCGACAGTTCAACAGCGCACCAAAACGCCCAACGTGGCCTCCAGGCGGCCTAAGAGGCACCCAAAACGCACCAAAGAAGGTCCACGAGGGCTCTCAAGAGAGCCCGCAAACTCGGAAATCGCATGTCCCCCGTAGTTTTTGAAAGATTTTGCCGTTTTCGCTTTTTCACGCTTCCACGCTCCGAGACAGCACAAGAAACCACCGCCCCAAGAGAGGGCCAAAATGACCCAAGACGGCCCCGAGACGGCCCAAGGATCCCCCAAGATCGCCCTAAGAGAGCCCCAAAACAACCCAAGATGGTCTCACGATGGCCCCAAACGCTGTCGAAACCAAGAGGCACCCAAAACGGTCCGTAGCCATTTTGGCTCAAGTACGACATCTACCAAGCCAGCCGGGCAGGAAAAGCGCCAACCGCTGGTCCACAGGTGGCCCGCCCTGGCCAGGACCCAGCAGCTTTTGCACTTACTTCTACTCTCTCCTTTCCCCCTCTTCACTGCACAGCGGCCGCGATGCCAGGTGATCGGCGCTCTGTGACTCGCCGCTCTCAGAGCCGTCACTCGTCGAGATCGCCCTCGGCGCAAACGACCAGCAGTCGCCGACGGAGTGAGTCGTCTCGCAGCCGCTCCGATGCCCCTGCACGCCCTCGCACATCCAGACCGTCGAGTGACGAGAAGCTTGGTGAAGTTCTTCGTGCGCTCCGTGGCTTTGGTTCGGCGCTGTCCACGCAGTCCTACGACATTGGCTTGATCAAGAATCAGATTTCGGCCCAGACGCAGCGGTGCGACCAACTCACCGCCAACGTGAACAACCTCACGACGGACATACAGAACAAAATCGCCCAAATCGAAGGCCAGCCGTCCTCCATGTACATGGGCCTGAATGGGCGCTTCGACTCCCTGAAAGTGCACGTAACTGAGCAGATCAAGAATGAGCTGACCGCGCAGGAGGCTCGCTCGACTGTACCCCACTTCAACATGGAGGACGACTCAGATGCCGCTCACAAGCATGCCCAGTCGCAGATCGATGACATCCAGAAGCAACTCCGTGCTCTGTCCACTCCGCCTTCGACGACAAGCAGCTCGGATCGCTCGCGCAGATCTTCCTCCCGACTTACACAACAGGAGAACACTTGCAAGCTCATCGCGGTCGGTTTCCCAAGGAAGATGCTCGCGCGCTCGCTGAAGACCATAGGAGACGCCATCAGG